CCCCCCCCCCCCCCCCCCCCCGCGCCTACCGAGCCCCGTCTTCCAAGACCCCCAAAATTTCCTCCAAATCCGAACTGGCCAGCCCCGCCCCCCTTGCCACATCCGCCGCTGTTTTCCCTTCTGCATCCCTCATCGCTCGAAGGTCTTGGATCATGGTCGCCGCGGCGGCCGGCTCGCTGGCGATGCTCCCGAGTGCCTCGAAGACCGCCCGGGCGGCATCGACGCGACCTTGCTGCGCGGCCCAGTGGAGGCACGTCCAACCGTCCTGGTCCTGGAGGTCGACCTGGGCGTCGAAGTCTTCGACCATCGCCTTGATGTCTCCTTCTCCCACCTGAAGAGGGTCACGGTTTTGCGGGTCGTTCCGTTTGTAGGCAAAATAATACGCCACTTGCGGCTGACTACACCAACGGAGACAGCGCTGGCACGCACGCATGCATGACGGCGGCGATGGTGCAATTAAGCCGATGAAATCAGGTCCCACGGATGGAGAACAGAGAAAGAGTTAGAGAGAAATAAAGAGACGGAGAGAGAGCGAGAGAAAGAGCAGACAGAGAGAGAGAGTCCCCACACAAGCAAACACCAAGACACAGATAACCCAAGATACACACCATCATTCTACACCATAGCGTACCAACCACGTTGCTACCACATGACACGATTACCACGCCCCCACCCCCCCGCGCGCTCGCAAGCACCTCGGCAGCTGCGCACACCTGCGACAAGCCGCACGCCACCATGAGAGGGCTCCACCCCAAGGCGGGAGTCCGCGTGTTGACGGAGAACGGCCCCAACTGCTCCATGACGGCGCCAAAGTCCCCCTCCCCCGCCGCCTCCCAAGCGTCGACCAGCTTGTCCTCCAACTCCCTTGGCATCGGCAAACTATTACTTCCGTCGTCCCCCCCGGCCACCGCGGCGGTGATGGTTGCTGCTGGATCGGCTTCCGCCTGTGGATTATGTTTGGGTAGATGTGGGAGTAGGTAGGCTAAATAGTTAGCTACAAACAGCGGTTTTGAGGAGCGCGGCGGATTGTTTGGCCTCGCGTTCTTTCTAGACAGCGCCCCCTCGTGCTATCTTACACTGAAGACGATAGACGTAATACTGATTTGGTGTTGCAAACAACGACCTACTCAACTTACACTATACGTACTGGTTGCCTGACCACCATCTAAGGATCTCTTCGTGTGAGCCATCGCTTTCCCTTCAAGTTCCAAAACCTTAGTGTGGCACGCAGTTGTCTCCATCATCGCCCCTTCCTCAAGGCCGTTCCGATGCCCCCCTACTTAAAACACAACAGGCTCACCTTCACAGCAGCAGAACCAGCAGCGGCTGAGGAATAACCCAACCCCGGAATGCCGCCCGCCCCCTCCCCGTCCGCCACGTCCGTCGGGGCCGCCTCCTCCTCGTTCTTGATCTTACCCCCTTCCAGCTCTCCTTCAATCCTCTCCCCCCAGACGCGGTAGCCCGGCTTGAGGCCCAGGACGAACTTGCGCAGGAGGCGGTTCTCCGAGAAGTGGTACGGCGTGGAGAATATTTGCAGCAGGAGGATGGGCCGGAAGCCCAGCACGAAGTGCGCCAGGATCGTGAGCATGAGGGCCACGAATTGCTGCTGGAGCTGCTGGAACACCTGTCGGGGGCATTTTTATATTATCGTTGGGGGGGTACTAATAGTCGTGCATGCCGTAGTCGTTAGACCATCGACCTCGCATCCCTACAAAGCCGGGACGGAGCACGCCGGGTTCTCACCGGACCAGGCTCTCACATCACCAAGCGCGAAACGCCGTGAGGTATTCGGCGAGTCGCATGAAGGGTGCGATGCATCCTGCTTAGGGTTTTCGGCATCTTGTGCTTACTTCCTTGCATACGGATGTCAGCTGCGTATGACTTAATTTACTTTCTGGTGCTTTCACTTCCAGAGACAGTTGTAAGCACTGTGTAACTGCCTCGAGGGTGCTTGACCATTTTAACACAACGTGGTGCGATCATCCCCCTTGCGCGGAGTGAGGGTTCTCGACCCCGCAAACATGATCTACTCGACCACCATTGTGGTTACCGCCAAAAAAAAACAACCGGAGGTAAAACATAAAATAACGTTAACCAGGTTGCCGAGTTCACGAAGTGAATTGGCTTGTTTTACAACGTCGTTGCCAAGCGACGAAAACCCAATCCCGATGGCAAACACCGAGGGCGGCGGCTNTTTACAGCGCTTTGCCACCAGCGCCAACCCACTTAAGTCTAGATTGGGGGGGCAAACACCGGGGGGGGCGGTTGTAAGCACTGTGTAACTGCCTCGAGAGTGCTTGACCATCTGAACACAACGCGGTGCGATTTTCCCCTTTGCGCGGAGTGAGGGTTATACCCCGCACAATATAATCTACTCGACCACTATTCACGGTTACCGCAAAAAAAAAAAAGGCAAAAAAAAAAGCGTTAACCTGGTCACCAAGCTCACGAAGTGATCGGCTTGTTATACAACATCGCTGCCAAGCGACGAAAACCCAACCCGATGGCAAACACCGAGGGGGGGGCTTGTTTCACAACGTCGTTGCCAAGCGACAAATACACAACCCCGATGGCCAAACAC